CACATAAAAGTTTAAACATTCAAACTATTTTAACTGCTCACCTAATAAAGATGTTAGTTAATTACTGTATATATAATGGACATAAATAGTGGTATAATATATTTCAATAATTTTAGCCTAAACCTGTAATTTTAGCTTTATGATAGAATAGGGATGTACCTGTTGAGAATAAGCATTTTGATGTTGAGTTTTATAGTAGCATCGTAAAAGAATCATCCACCCTATATCATCTCGTGGGTGTCGTAAGAGGCGACAAAGAAATGAAAATGAAATGAGCAGCAGCATCTTCGTGATAAAATTTAAAAATGTTAAAAACTGCGGTTACCTTGGTAAGTGCAAATATTCCCCCACTTTCATAGGACTTTCATAGAATGTAATGAATTTTAATAGGTGGTGAAACTCCTTTTCTACCTAGGAATCCATCTGGGTAGGTAATACCCACTTACCTACTTTAACAGCTAAATATAAGTGCTTTCACTGCTTTGTTACGACTATAGGCTATAGAGAGACAGTACTGTTAAAGGCTATGAGACAATCTATCTTAAAAAATCTCAAAGGTGACAACGCATCTATAGCATTATTTGTTTGACGTAGGTCCCAGGTGTTCATGGACTGCAGTGGCTACTTACCATCAGGTGAACTGTAAATTAGTTTCAAAAAAAATTAATACTATATTTAATTTTTATGAAACGAATTTACATAACTATATTATTAATTGTTATTTTTTACCGTCTTCACTCGCTCCAAAATTATTTATATTCAATGTTAAATTTATTCTTCTTGGTTCATTTTCATGTCGACTATTCATTGCATCATTGGCGTAACAAAATGTCTTAAAAAGGATTGATTTTAATAAATTATTTTGCTCCCGCAAAATTTGAATAATTCTCTCATCAGGTACAAAACTATCATTATTAACAGTATTCATTTCATTATAATTTTGATCTCTTGAAATTGTACAATTCCTGTCTGGCATAATACCACTGGGAGCACTGGGAAGTTCTTCAATGTCATCGTGTAATCCTAATGCTTCTTGAAGTTGGGTTTCAATGTTAGGGCTTGAAATCCCTAATTCATTTAAATTTAAAGATTTTTGTAATATTTCTATTATGCTATGAATAGTGTCATTATTATTACTTTTGTCTTCTAAATTTTCGTTTTCATGATGATTATCCATTTTATTTACAAGAAGGTTATCTTGTGGGTTCTTATTATTTGATTCCAAATTTTGTTGTGATTTAACTATTTCATTTCTATACTCTGTATTCATATGTTCACTATCTATATTTCCAAGCATCTTTCTATATTTTGGCTTGGATTCCGTAAAAGATTTAGAAATAGAATTGTCATTGACCTTAGAAACGTCACTTGACACTATCTTATTACTTTGTTGCTTGTGTTGATCATTAGTTTCTTGTTGATCATTCTTAAGGAAAAGTTCCACGGGTGGTTGTGTATTCTTAATCATGGATAATACTGGAACAATTTTAGATAAAGGTCTAGTGATACCATCTAAACGTAAATTTAATGCACCTGGCTTCGAACTTTCCATATTTGAACTGGATTTAATTTTTAAAAGGGGAAAGAAATTTTCAACATTATCTTTGGCACTTGTATCTTCTAAATTTGATTGTATAACCTCTTCATGCGCTCTCTTAACTCGGTGTTTAGTACAAACCTAAAGTAAATATATAATTTTTTATGTAAATAGTGGGTCAAAAAAGCATTTAATTTGATATTTAATATGGGAATATATAAAATATTAAAAAGACCTTAAAAATAACTAAAACTAAAAAATTAAATTACTCGTAACATACAGTTCTTCTCTCCGCGATATCGTGGCAAAAATTTTGGCTACGTCCCGTTGCTGAATGGATATACTTAGGCTTTAAGCGAGGCAAGAATCAGCTCTGTTATCACCAACAGCAATTACTAGTCGTGGATACAGTTCCTTTAGGAACCTCACTGCCCTCGGATCAATAGTCTCTATAGCGAAGTGCACAAATATGTAGTCATTTCTCAGAGACTTATAGTTGCGTTACTAAGTTCAGCTGCTTCTGATGCGACCACGACTCTAAACGAGGTACCTCTGAGATGAGAGGCTGCCAAAGTGAATGTAGTTCGAATATTATGGGAATTTTGTGATATTATAATAAGAAAGATAAGAACAGTAACAATTTAATGCAAATGTTGAAAGTTCAAAAAGGCGAAATTAGAACGAATAAATGGTAAAATAAATAATTTTTAAGAGACAAATATTGATGCTAATTTGAAGTAAAAACTAGAAATTAGTAGACTTTAACTTTAGGCCTAGTCAGTTTGAATAGCCAATCATGTAGATAATGTCATGGCGGTCATGGTTGAATAGGGGCAAAAAGTTCTCATTACACTCCTATTGTGTCAAAATGGCCAAAAATCAAAAACTTTAGGGGTGGATAGAACTTTTGGCATAGTCAGTTTGAATAGCCTATCATATAGAGGATGTCATGGGGGTCATGGTTGAATAGGGGCAAAAAGTTCTCATTGCACTCCTAGAAGTCAAAATGGCCAAAAACCAAGAAATTAAAAGTACCTATTTCGGCTATAACTCCGCCTCCTTCGGAGTTTCTTACACAGTATTTTCTTGTCGCATCCTACTTGATCATGATAGGAACATAACGATGAGTTATGTACAAAATTAAAACTCCAGGACCCTATGTTGCCGCAAAATTACTGGACGACGTTTTCATTAAATTACAGAAAAAAAATTTACAGTGTTCAGTGGTCTGTTTTTGTGTTAAAAGCTTGAGAGATCGTTAGTCCTTTAACTGTCGGAGCCCAAAATTGTCGCTTGTTAGTAGTTCTACATATTAGCACTATAAAATATACTCACATTTATATTTAGAGATCCATAACATAAAACTACACACATCGTAAACACCAGTATCAATTTCTGTAACAACATTTTATGTATCATCAAAATTAAATAATTGTACTAATATTGATGATCATGATTGTTTAAGGAATGCCGATGAATGGTGTTTAAAAACTACGAATATTTTGTTTGTAGAATTTTTGGTTCCGCTGAAAATCGATCTTTAATGGTTGCGCTATTTTAATAACATTGTAAAATATGATATTCATGTGAGTAGCATTAACAACATAGGTATAAAACCAGTGTATGATGCCAGTCATGACAAATGGATCTGAGACGTGGTCCTAAATACACACAATTCAAAAGCCAAATTAATAATTGGCAGGCCATATAGCATGAAGATCCGAGAACCTATAGCGAAAAAAGTTTCTCGAATGACCACCACGTACTGGTGAGCAAAGTTTAGGGCCAGCCTCCCTATTAAGTGGAGTGTCAACCTGGTAAAAGATGCAGGAAGTTGATGGATGCAGGTTGCTCAGAACCTTGCTTTGTGAACACAAAGCACGTTACATTTACTCAAATCAATAATTAGTTTCTAACTTCAAACAATTATTAACAGTAATTTTCGTTTTTCGTGGTTTATCGTTCATGACCTTGGCTGGACATGTTTTTAAAGCCGTGGAGTATTATTAACGGGTAACAAATTTCCATGTTTAGTAGAACATATATATTTAAATAATAATATAAGTTTAAAAAACTACACTCTCGAATTCAAACTCAAAATTCACAATGTAATTTTTGTAACATATTATCATTGATGTATAATACTATGTCATTTGAGGGTCATGTATATTATGGTCTAGACCCAAAATTTCACATAGTGGAGTCAGAGTTTAAGCTCGAAATGGTCTCTGAATACCGGTCTTAGAATAATGTTTGTGCACTACATTCAATTTCAGAATGTACATTCACATTCTTTAAACTGAAAATTTCCAAACAAAATTGCTGTGATGATCTTGATAGTATTTTTATCCTGGTGATCCCGATCAGGATACTAAGATTAAGTTATCAAATTATTTTATTGACATCGGTCCTTTCTTCTTCCTTTCTTTCATTTAAAAAATAGGATAGAGTGACAAACGAGCACACAGTTCACCTATCCCCAATAAAGAATCAAAATGCGTTATTACCCCTGAGGACTACGATGGAATGCCTTTTTTTACAGTAAAAACGGTCTCCGGTTCTCTAAACTCACCACATGACACTCAGCAATGTTAAGCTGCTATTTTATGATGGTATTCTGTGAGAGCGTGGTCCTTCCCCGGTCGAGCCGACCCCTTCGTGCCACAAATATAGCTGGAGTCTGGCTCTATCACGTAAAAACGGCTACAACATTGATACGACTTACAACTTTTAAGTCAATTGGCCGTCTACAAGTTGGTGAAAATAGATATATATATATATATATATATATATATATATATATATATATATATATATATATATATATCGTATGTATATCGTATGTATATATATATACATACGACATAATACATACGAAACTAATAAAAGCGTATTCAAAATTAATATTTCTTTTTTTTGTCTTATAAGGTACACATACCACTTAACCTTAATCGGATAAGAGGTACAAAAACAAAAAAAAACTTTAGTGAGTAGTGGTGTGCCACTGGCGAAGACTTCTGACTACAAAAAAATATATTATTTGTTCGTTTGTTTTCTACGCCTTCCATTCTATTCATCTAATTGCGATAAAACTTTTGTGTGTAATTGTGCGCTCGCCCGTGAATATTTTAACAAAATAAAAGCATTACAGCACAAACTGGGCACAGCTTTTATCAATGCCAAGGTTTTCTGCCACCCGGGAATGCTAGACTCTGGCATAGCCGCATCTTGAAAGTATCTTGAAAGGATATAATCGGAAAAAGTCTTCATTAGTTACGATTGTAATGAAAATATTCATTTACAGCTGATTTTCAGATTTTTCATATTTTATGGCCATCATTTACATTTTTCCGAAAATGCCACCCCATAGAATCTGCTACCTCTCCCGTCCTCGCCTTGCTATGTCACTAGCTTGTATAAAATAAAACACGTAAGAGTTTGTCATTCCATACAATTTATTTGATTAAGTATTATACATTATATCTATAATTGTATCATAAGTTTGTCGAACAACTGGATAAAATTCAAATATTGCGGAAACGGCAAGGACTAACAAGGTTAAAATTCTGCTTATGCCGCGAATTAAGTCCAATCTGTTTGTGAGTGGTGATGACTTCCTTAAAGATTTCGCCTCATAGATTGCAGGTTTTGGAGGGGTCACCTGAAACAAATGCGTTTTACTCAATAAAAAATAGACCAACCAGTTTTCTTAAAAATTTTTTTTTCATAAAATTTACTTTCACTAAAATGAGTTTAGCCGGTAAGTGGCGGCGTAGGAGAATCCACTACCCCCTATCATCCTGTGGGTGTCGTAAGTGACGACCGAGGGAATTTGAAGCAGGAAATGGGCAGCCGCACCTTCCTGAGAACATCTGAGTAATAATAAAAAATAACTGCGATTGACAACCCGCCTGCGTGCCAAATACGGCAAATATCTCCTCTATGATGTAATCCATGGAGAAAGCCAATTTTTGGCAGCGTATGATGGGCTCCAATGAACAAAATAAATAAATAAATGAATGAGGTATAATATAATAATACATATTAGGATCAAGTATCAGTAACTGCACGAAGTCAGGAAGTTGGCGGTGTTTCACCCCCAGGCCTCGGAAAACACGTAAAGCCGTTGGTCTTGTACCTGATCTCTCCGGTCGTGTCGCTTTACCGTCCCATCGGAGTGTGAGAGTGAGGGAATAGATAATGCACCTGTGCTTGCGCATACACTTGGGCACTATAATGCTGTGCTGTTCCGATGGCTAGTCTCCGTTGAGACTGGCCGTCATGACCGAAATTCGGTCTGAAGGACATTATTACATTATTACATACTAGTTGTGCCCCGCGACTTCGCCCGCATGGAATTTACTACGATTTCATGGATTTTTTTGCGCGGAACCCTAATTTTGTTTTTGAGTAATGTTACCATCTTATAAATATTTATATATTAATATTTATACGATACTAACGTCACTCAATTATTTTGCCTACCCGGAACTCCTCCACTAACACTTAAACTTTATGGTATGGTATTAAAGTTCAAATTGACTTTTAAGTATAATTACGAATCTTTTGTATTGTAACATAGAAAAGTGTTGTTTTTAGACTTTTTCAGGCAATTTTTTATCTTTTTCTCTTCGTGAGATCATCATTACAGCCCTTCACAAGTCCACTGCTGAACATAGGCCTCCCCCAAGGAATGCCACAAAGCACGGTCCTGAGCCACCTGCATCCATCGACTTCCTGCATATCTTACCAGGTCATCACTCCATCTAATGGGTCGGGACGCCCTACACTTCGTCCGCCGGTACGAGGCCACCACTCGAGAACCTTTTTTCGCCATCGGTTGTCGGTTCTTCGAGCTATATGGCCGGCCAATTGCCACTTTAGCTTACTATTCCGTTGGGATATGTCGGTCACTCTGGTTCTACTGCGGATATCCTCATCTCTAAGTTTATCACGCAGAGAAACACCGATCATAGCCCTCTCCATAGCTCGCTGAGCGACCTTGAGCTTCCTCATCCGGCCAGCAGTGAAGGACCACGTCTCAGTTCCATAGGTCATCACTGGCAACACTCACTGGTTGTATAGTCTCGTTTTCAAGTTTTGATGTATACCTGACGAGAAGATGTGCCGTAATTTCCCAAACGCTGCCCAGCCGAGTTGAATCCGTCGATTGACCTGTCGGTCGAAGTTGGACTTACCTAGGCGGACTATTTGTCCCAGGTAAACATACTCGTCAACAACTTCGAGCTTAGTGCTCCCAACAACTACCGGCATAGGTGTGATATGGACATTAAACATGATCTTTGTTTTGTCCATGTTCATCTTAAGACCTATCCGTTGAGAAACACTATTCATAATAGTCATTGAGCATAGTGCTTAGGTCCTCCAGCGATTCTGCCATAAGGACTATATCGTCGGCAAATCGAAGGTGAGTGATTTACTCGCCATTGATGTTAATACCGTATCCTTTCCAGTCCAGCAGCTTGAAAACGTCTTCCAATGCAGCGGTAAAGAGTTTCGGGGATATAACGTCACCCTGTCTTACACCTTTCTGCAATTGGATAGGTTTCGTACTCTGGTTCTGTACTCGGATAGTCATCGTAGCCCTACTGTACAAGCACTTAAGCACTTCGATATACCGACAGTCAACTTGGCACCGCTGAAGGGAATGCAGCACCGCCCAAATTTCGACGGAATCAAAGGCTTTCTCATAGTCCACATACGCCAGACATAGTGGCAAATTGTACTCCTCGGACTTCTGTACAATTTGCCGAAGGGTATGTATGTGGTCTATGGTGCTAAAACCTTTTCGGAAACCGGCTTGTTCGGAATGCTGGAAGTCGTCAAGTCTGCGCGCAAGACGGTTCGTAATGACTCTCGAAAACAGCACGTAGACGTGGCTCAGAAGGGAAATCGGTCTGTAGTTCTCCAAGAGAGCGTTGTCACCTTTCCTGAAGAACAAGACCACCGCACCTCTGCTCCACGCCTCCGGTGTAATGCCACTATTGAGGAAGGAATTAAAGAGCTTCTGAAGGACTTCAAGTACCGGTTTTCCACCCGCTTTCAGAAGCTCCGCTGTAATTCCGTTCTCACCTGGGGCCTTACCGTTTTTAAGATGCTGGAGAGCCATTCTAATCTCACTCAGACTGACGTCCGGGATATCATCGGAATAGTGTCGGATAAGACTCGCCCTTGGATCGTTACGCATACATACGTGTGGCTCGAACGATGATGTGTACAGCTGACGATAGAACCTCTCAATCTCACTCAAAATCTCAGGTGTCCCAGAAACGACGCTACCACACTCGGTCTTCAGCTTCGACAGTTGGCTCTTTCTGGCAGACAGATCTCTAGCAAAGACTTTGGAGTCCTAGTTCTGCTCGATCGCTTCTTCAATACGAGCAGTATTAAAGTTTCGTAAGTCCCGCCGCATGCATTTGGAGATCTGTCTGTTCAGTTGCCTGTATGCTGTCAAATCTACTGAAGACTGCAGCTTCATATCTCGTCTAACATGATGATAATGATAATGGTCTCTCGGTAAGAACCATTTTCGTACTTCGTGCTCTCATGGCGTACTATGAAAATTAAAGTTGGCGAATAGCCAATAAACAAGACAGTCTCATATTGCGTGCTCCAAATAAAAAATCAGTTATGTATAGTTATTAATGACGTTTTATTACGTGGACCGGTGTAGGACCACGCTTTCACAGAATACCAGCGAAAAATAACAGCTCAATTTTCGTGCGTGTGTAAAGAACCGGAGAACCTTTTTACTGGAAATGAGGCATCAGGTGGACTGTGTGCTCGTTTGTTACCCTAACTCTATAAAAAAAATCTTGTAAAACTTGAACCCAAATTGAAGATATTAAAAATAAACTGTTTTAAATTATACTATTTCACGTTATAATATATGTGGTAATTCTTAAGAAGTTCAGTGAAACGAATTTAACTAGATTTCATTTCACTGAACTTTTAAAAATGAAATTAATTAAATCTCTATTTATTTATTTTTTTATAGTATAGGGTGACAAACGAGCACACAGTCCACCTGATGGTAAGTGGTTGCTGTAGCCCATAGACATCTACATCTATCCTCAATAAAGACTCAAGATGCAGATGCGTTGTCACCCGTGAGGACTAAGATGGAATGCCTCTTTGCCAGTAAAAAGGGTCTCCGGTTCTCTACACTTACCATACGAAACACAGCAGCGTTAAGCTGCTATTTTACGCTGGTTTTCTGTGAGAGCGTGGTCCTTCCCCGAGCGAGCCGACCCATTCGTACTACAACTATACTTCTAATATAGTTGCAGCATGGCTCTACCACGTAAAAAATTTGAAATTTTTTACGTGGTATTTAAGTAAGTAACATTTCTTATCCGTACACTGTGTGTAATTGGTCTAATTTCAACCACAGACGACACTAATATAATTTATATGTGTACGTACACACTTGAATAGTCGAAATCGAACTGTCTATATTCTTTTATAAACGACGACAAACGAACACACAGTCCATCTGTAAGTGAAAGCTGTTGCCAAGACATTTCACGTCTATTCTCAAATAAGAAAAATAATGCAGATACTTTGTCACCCCTTAAGTCTAAGATGGCATTCCATTCATTCATCATCAGGAATTTGATCGTTACCAATTACAATTACAATTATGGCTTTCAGGTCTTGGTACAAAGCAAAACCTACCATCACTAATGGGTTGGCTCGACCGGGGAAGGACCACACTCTCACAGAATACCAGCGTAAAATAGCGTAAAATAGCTTAATGCTGCTGTGTTTCGTATGGCGAGTGTAGAGAACCGGAGACCCTTTTTACTGGAAAAGAGGCATTCTATCTGAGTCCTCACGGTCGACAACGCATCTGCATTTTAATTCGCAAACGAAGATAGACGTTGATGCCTATGGGCCACAACAACCACTTACCATCAGGTGGACTGTGTGCTCGATTGTCACCTTTATTCTATAAAAAAAAAGAAATATAAACAAATTATCTTCCTTCGTTCCATAACGCTTATTTATGTTATTTTGTTTACATAGATATTGTTGTGCCTCTGTTAGTGATATTGAAACTTCTGAACGACTTGACTTATTGGTGATATTCACACTATTTTTTTTCTCTTATACTACGATCCTATAGGTGGCGCTGTAATCAAATTATTAACAGAGTCTAACAAAAATATCTCATTTTCACAATTTGTTTTAGAGCCAAATAGAATCACGAAATCTAAATCCGATAGGTGCTATGGTCGAAATATATATTTTATACTTCTATTATATCTGTATTATTATTTACACTAAAAAAATCAGAGTGAAACTTATTCTGGAAAGAGCAGAATAACATATGTCGGGATAGCTTATTTTACGGATAAATGAACCTAATTTTTATCACGCCTAAGTTAACTTTTTCTAAACTCCTGACATTTCGAGTATTTTGTAACATTCAGGTGAGGGTCAGGTCACAAAAGGCATTCAGCTTTCAATTATAATGTTTTAGTTTAAACGACGGAAAATGAAGTGTCTTGAAGTCTTCCAGTAAGCTAGGGTTGGGATTTGATTTTATTAGTAAACTAGCTGTTCCCCGCGACTTCGCCCGCGTGTTATTTGGTGTTCTAATTTTTTTGCGCGGAACCCTAATTTTTGTTCTAAAACAAAAGTAGCCTAAGTTACTCCTTGTGATATCAGCTATCTACCAGGGAAAATCCCATCAAAATCGGTCCAGCCGTTTCGGAGATTAGCCGGAACAAACAGACAGACAGACAGACAAAAAATTTAAAAATTGTATTTTTGTCAGTAGTACTGTATATACTTTCATATGCATTTAGTAAAAAGCTGTAATTTTTACTGACTAACTAACTACTTAACTTCTTTTTTTATGAAACCTGAAGAGACACACGAACTTACAGTTCCCCTGATATTAAGGGTCTACTACAGTCCATGGACACCTGCAGCCAACTTCAAACAAAGAAGACTACAGAAGTGTTATCACATCCAAAGTCCAAGATAGAATGCTTCACAGCCTTCTATGCTCTTCACACCGGAACCCAGCAATGCAAGCACTGCTATTTCGCGGCAGAAAAAGGTTGGTAGCTACTTAGATAAGGCAGATAAGGAGCCTAACCACTTACCAACCTAAAGTAAAGTTAAAAGTTAATTAAGTTACAGCCTATATACGTCCCACTGCTGTGCACAGGTCTCCTCACATTTCTGAGAGGGTTTCAGGACAAGGAAATATCCGCCACACTGCCCGAATGCGAACATCACATGCCTATGAAATATTTTTTTCTTATTTCACAGACATGCCGGTTTTCTCACGATGTTTTCCTTCACCGCCAAGTACGTGGTAAATCAGCACTTAAAATTGCAATTAACAATTCCATTGGTGCCGGCGGGGATCGAACCCGGGTTGCTCGCGTACCGTTATAAAAAGTAGAGTAACTTTTCTCATTTGAACTATCATTATACCTAGTTCCTTTTAATATACGTAATGGATACATCGCAAAAGATAACCTTTACTAATAAAACTTATTCTAGAAAGCAATTTACGACAACAGTATAAAAGTGTCCCCGAATGCGTCGTTAAGCTTCAACGACCGTCACCAGTCGTAGCCGTACCCTAAGCCATTAGGCTATTAGATAGCATAACACTTACTTTTTGTTGTTTACCTGAAAAACAACACCCGGTTCTATTTGCGAAGGCACGTGTTTCCGACGAGATAACGAACATTGCTGGAAGTTTCGAAAGGTATGTTATCACACTAAGTAGGTTTAAAAGTGGGACACAAAATACGCCGTAAAGTCATCGTTTCATGTAGTACCAATCGATCTTTAGAACATATTTATTTATGACAATAGAAAAAGCACTAAAAAGCTAGAGAAAGAATCCTCGATGAGTTTCCAAGCAAGCAAGGTTTTCACTATCACTATCATTACAGCCCATAACAATTCCACCGCTGAACATAGGCCCGCCCTAAAGAAATGCTGTATGTGTGTTGCTGTATGCCGATCATCACAAAGTGCGGCCCTGAGCCATCTGCATCCATCGACTACCTGCGTGTTTTATCAGGTCATTAGCACTCTGCGCTTACCAGTACGAGGTTACCACTCGAGAACCTATCATCCCTATCGGTTGTCGGTTCTGCGAGCTATATGGCCAGCACATTGCCACTTCAGCATATTGAACTGATGGGCTATGTTAGTAACTCTTCTTCTTCTGTAGGTGTCCTAGTCACTCGAGAATTTCCGAGCATAGTCCTTTCCATCGCATAGATGAAAATTCATCATTAAATTAAATTTATTAAACTCCTTGTCTGTCCTTCTGGGTAGGTAACAATACTCTAACCTTTTTTTGCCGCCAAATAGCAATGCTGGCATTGTTGTGTTTCACTCTAAAGGGTATTTATATAGAGCCGTATAATTACAAGGTGTGAGGAATTCCATTTTAGTCCACAGAAGTGACAACGCACGTGTAGCCTTCGTTGTTTGAAGTTGGCAGCACGAGTCCATGAACTTTTTTTATAGAATAGAATAGGGTGCCAATCTAGCACACAGTCCACCTGGTGGTAAGTGGTTGCTGTGACTCATAGACATATACATTTATCCTCAATAAAGAATCAAAATGCAGATGTGTCGTTACCCGTGAGGACTAAGATGGGATGCCTCTTTTCCAGTAAAATGGGTCTCCGGTTCTCTACACTCACCATACGACACACAGCAGTGTCAAGCTGCTATTTTACGCTGCTGCTATTCTGTGAGAGCGTGGTCCTTCCCCTGTCGAGCCGACCCGTTCGTGCTACAACTATACTACTAATACTTATCAATAGATGAACTGTAAGTTCGTCTGTCACTGCAGTTTATAAAAAACAATAACGGAATTGACCATAATATATAAATTGCATCGCAATCATGAAAAAAAATTCAGGCTCACACACAAGGCTATACAAACATTTATTCCGTACAGAATTCGAACCCGCGTTAATAGCATTTAACCACTTCGCGACTGAGCCGTCAAAATGGAGCAATGAGAAATTCAGAGTAACAAAGACGATAAGATACGATAAGAGAGATAATTAAGTTATAGCCCTACGTAGTTTACGTCCCTGATGACAGTCTCATTGGTCTAGTGGTTGTAAACGTGACCGTTGTTCATGTGGTTCGGAGTTCTAATCCCGTGTCGGGACAAAACCAGTGTTCGAGTTTTCTGCCAAGATAAAGTGGCAGCTCGGAGCTAGAGAATTAGCCGTAGCCGTTGATCCAGCGCCTGATCTCTCTCCGATCGTGTCGGATAGTCATCATATCGGACTATGAGAGTGAGGGAAGAGTACGAATGAAACACGTCCACAATAATCTTGTCCTGCACAGATGACCAATCTCCGTTGCCTGCAAAATCTTATGGGTTTAGTTAGATGGCGAAATAACCATCTCTTTTTTCATAGAATTGGGGTGACTAACGAGCACACAGTCCACCTGATCGTAAGTGGTTGCTGTGGCCCATAGACATCTACATCTATCTCCGTTTGCGAATTAAAATTCAGATGCGTTGTCAGCTGTGAGGACTAAGATATAATGCCTCTTTTCCAGTGAAAAGGGTCTTCGGTTCTCTACACTTACCATACGAAACACAGCAGTGTTAAGCTGCTATTTCACGCTGGTATTCTGTGAGAGCGTGGTCCTTCCCCGGTCGAGCCGACCTATTCGTGCTACAACTATACTATTAATATAGCTGCAGCATGGCTCTACCACGCATAAAAGAATACCAAGACCTACAGGAGCAGCAATAAAGCCTCGAAATGTGATAGAAATTGCCTGCGCAGCCTGCCGCCTGCCTGCCCATGCCTGCCAAGCGTGATGATAAAAGAAAATCCACCCTACAACGGGATAGACCCATATCTATGTATTTATACTTCGTCCCGCCGTTCTCACAAGAGGCGACTATAAAAAATCTCTAATTCATGTTATGGTTTCCGATAGATATTACCATTATATTTACGTCAGATATAAAGTACCCTAACGAAAATAGAGCTGTCAATTCGTTTTTTTTTTATTTAAAATATTTACAAATATTACATATTTTTTAATATTTACACTCACCTTCTCCCTGACCTCGGCATTTTCCGGTTTGACCTCAGCGTGTATAGGTTGGGCGTTATTAGTCACGATGTCAAGGGCGCCAACCGCGTCCCTCTTGCGTCTCTTAAAACTGGAGAGCTGTTGAATGATTCAAGGAGTGAGACTAGGATGAGTGTTGTTGAGACACTGTTATATTGTGGATTATCTACCATTGCAATGCGCAGATAAAATGTGGTGAAGATTTGTTTTTTTATTTACTTGTAACATATAGTAAACAAAGTAAAAGCCTTTATATGTTTCTCTCAGTATGGCACAAACTTATTATCATTTTTGGCAAGGTTATAGGTGTAGTACTTCACATGTGGACTTCCAAGGACACTCGAAAATAATTTTAGGTTTTCAAATATCTAAGTAGGTTTCCTCGTAAGGTTTTCCGTTGCAGTAAACAGTAAACAGTTGCTCATGGGATTTAAACTCGCTATGCTAGAGCACTATTACGAGTATCTATAGGCTGTTAGATCAAATATAATTCTAATATTATACCAAATCATAAATGCTATTCATTATCATCATCATCATTACAACCCTTTACAAGTCCACTGCTGAATATATACCTGCCTGCACGGTCCCGAGCCACCTGAATCCATTGACTTCCTTCATGTCTTACTAGGTCGTCACTCCATCTAGCGGGCGCACGTCGTACACACAAATCTTTCTTCCCTATCGGTCGTCGGTTTTTCGAGCTATATGCCTGACCCATTGCCACTTCAGCATACTTATTCTTTGGGCTATGTCGGTTACTCTGGTTCTACTGCGGATATCCTTGTTTTTAAGTCTATCACGCAGAGAAACGCCGTGCATAGGCCTCTCTATAGCTCGCTGAGCGACTTTGAGCTTCCTCATACGGCCAGCAGTGAAGGACTACGTCTCAGATCCATAAGTCATCACTGGCAACACGCACTGATTGAACAATCTGGTTTTGAGGTTTTGAGGCATGTTTTTTTTTTAATAGGATAAGGGTGACAAACGAGCACACAGTCCACCTGGTGGTAAGTGGTTGCTGCGGCCCATAGACATCTACATCTATCTTCTATTACAAATCAAAATGTAGATGCGTTGTCACCCGTGAGGACTAAGATGGAATGCCTCATTTCCAGTAAAAAGGGCCCCCGGCCACTTGCACTCACAAAGCGAAACGCAGAGGTAAACCTCTACTTCACGCTGGTTTTCTGTGAGGTCGTGGTACCACTCCGGTTCGAGCCGGCCCATCCGTGCGACAGCAAAAGCTGGAGCGTGGCCCTACCACTATTAACTGTATGTCTAACGAGAAGATGTGTCGTAATCTCTCGAACGCTGCCCAGCCGAGTTGAATCCGTCGATTGACCTCTCGGTCGAAGTTGGACATACCTAGTCGGACTATTTGTCCTAGGTAAGCAACTTCGAACTTAGTGCTCCCACAAACTACCGGCATAGGTATGACATGGGCGTTAAACATGATTTTTGTTTTGTCCATGTTCATCTTAAGACCTATCCATTGGGAGACACAATTGAGGTCATTGAGCATAGTGCTTAGGTCCTCCAGCGATTCTGCCATAAGGACTATATCATCGGCAAATCGAAGGTGAGTGATGTACTCACCATTGACGTTAATACCATATCTTTTTACAGTTCAGTAGCTCGAAAACTTCTTCAACGCAGCGGTGAAGAGTTTCGGTGATAAAACGTCACCCTGTCTTACACCTCTCTGCAGTTGAATAGGTTGCGTACTCTGGTTCTATACTCGGATAGCCATCGTTTTTTTTATAGGATAGGGTGACAAACGAGCACACAGTCCACCTAATTGTTAGTGGTTACTGTGACCCATAGACATCTACATCTATCCTCAATAAAGACTCAAGATGCAGATGCGTTGTCACCCGTGAGGACTAAGATGGATTGTCTCTTTGCCATTAAAAAGGGTCTCCGGTTCTCTACACCAACCATACGAAACACAGCAGCATTAAGCTGCTATTTTACGCTGGTTTTCTGTGAGAGCGTGGTCCTTCCCCGGTCGAGCCGACCCATTCGTGCTACAACTATACTACTAATATAGCTGCAGCATGGCTCTACCACGTAAAACGTTACCCTACTGTACAAACACTTCAGCACTTCGATATACCGACAGTCCACTTGGCACCGCTGGAGGGACTGCAGCACCGCCTAAATTTCGACGGAATCAAAGGTTTTCTCATAGTCCACATACGCAAGAAAAAGTGGCAGATTTTACTCTTCGGTCTTCTGTACAATTTGCCGATGGGTATGTATGTGGTCTATGGTGCTAAAGCCTTTTCGGAAACCGGATTGTTCGGGAGGTTGGAAGTCGTCGAGTCTGCATGCGAGGTGATTCGTAATGACTCTCTAAAACAGCAAGTAGACGCGGCTCAGAAGGGAAATCGGTCTATAGTTCTTCAAGAGAGCGTTGTCACCTTTCTTGAAGAACAAGACCACGAAAATTAAAATAAAAACATTATAGTATCGATGTTGTTAATGTAATTGACAAATTAAAAACGAAATTATATTAAAAATTTACGGGCAAAAATTCATCATCATCGTTATTAAAAGTCCACTGCTATACAGGCTTTCATGTTTGCCTCATAGGGCATATAAAATATGTATGTTTTTAATTATACTAATTACTCAATAGCTGAAAATCTATCTCATGAATAATCTAATATAGCTAAAACTCTACTAATTAACATAGAGACCTCCCCCATGAATTGCTTCATAGTTGCCACGTTTGACATTTGGGTTTCCAAACGCAGTTTCTTTACTAATTTCAGTTGTTACGAGTATTAGGAAGATGCTGCTGCCCGCGCCTTCATTTACATTTGTCGCCTTTTACGATACCTACGGGATGATATGGGCTGGTGGATATTCTTATAACGCGCGGTGACTCTTAAAGCTAACCTATCACATTATTACTTAGTTACTTTATCTGTACATACAAGTCCACTGCTGAACGTGCGCCTCTTCCAGGGAAAGTTTACCTTAATCGCAGGCAGGCAGATCTACGATTACAATACTAGACGTAACGCACTATTGACGGTCATATTTTACGCCTGGCGTAAAGGGGTGTGTGGCGGGTAGAATGAAAAGGGGAGATCTCTCGCCTGACAAGGTGTTAAGCCCGGGGAGCGGCCAACGCTCCAGTTGGTAGTTCGGAGCTATTTTATATATGCTGCTTTATCTTCGGAACTTTGTTAGCGCGATTTTGGCTTCGATGTGTTTCGCTTGTGGCGCGACGACAGCGCGTGGCGATAAGATTTTTTCTGCGATTTTACTTAGTCGCTTCAACATTTTTTTGTAAAGAAATTTATACAACTATAATTAAAAACCCGGTCTAAGTCCGCTACCACATTTTTGTATATGATCATAGATATATAATTCATAGAATAATAAGAAAACTGTGACAATTAATTTTCCATTTGACTTATATGTTTTTTGTATAAAATAAGGATGACAAACGAACACACAGGTCACCTGATGGTAAGAAGGTGCAGTAGCCCAAGGACATCTTCATATATCCTCGGTTAAGAATGAAAATGGAGATATATTGTCACCCTGAGGACTAAGACAGAATGTCTCATTTCGATTAAAAAGGGTTTTCAGTTCTCTAAGCTCATCATACGATACAGTTTCGTTAAGCTGCTATTTTACACTGGTATTCTGTGTGAGAGTGGTCCTTCCCCGGTCTGACCCATTCGTGCTACAACTACAATATAGAGCTATATCACGTGCAAATGCTCTAGAGTGTACAAACTAAAATATAACAGTTTTCTTATATTTCTATGAATCATACCATATATCTATGATCAATATATTATGTTATTCATTACTGTAATTCATTACTTTTTTGCTTTTGTAACTTTTCTATCATATTTATATGAATTTAAAGTCAGAAGGGACTAAACTGATGAAGATACCAGTAGTACTTAATATATAGATAATAATTAACGCAAGACCTTAGCACTTACATAATCATTATTCAGTCCGGATGCAACGCAACAAAACGTAATAATCAAAAATTTGATTTTCATTTCTCACATTTTTCCCGCGAACAGATTTATTGTTTCTAGACGTATTGCAAATAATAAAATAAAAAAGAAATAAAAAATATCGATAAACACATATTATTTTTCAACATTATTGTAATATTTTGAAATACGTAATATTTTTTTTTCAAACAAGCATATTTTCGTGATAAAACACTGTGTAAGGTTTGAAAGCGGAATGAAGGAATGATTTAGGTTTTTGAAATTACACCTACTTACTTCATTTCTGTTTTTCAATTAAAAAAATGTTAAAGCTAATATTAATATTTTTAATCAATGTTGCATATGGACATCAGAATGTAAGTATGGTAACAAATATACTTATTGACCTTAAAAGGTCCCCTTACGTAAATTAAATTAAAAAAAAATTAAATAAGGATGGAATTACTTAACTTTAAGTATTATTATTGTTGAATCTTAATATCCTTTATAAATGACCATCCATGGACCCAATCTAAACTTAATCGCGTCTTCTGACAAATGCGATTTCATCCCCTGGCAATTACGGGACGGCTACTAATGGCGTATCATATATCATTTCTGAAATGACAGGAAATTCGTTTCACTTTTTTAGTAATGCATCCATTCATCCATTACAGCCTATCAAAATTCCACTGCTGAACACAGGCTTTCCTATAGATTCATTATATATGCCATAGCTGCCACGCTTAGGAGGCAGATTGGCAGCCGCAGTTTTGTTTACTATTGTTTTTAGTTGCTACACATAGCAGGCTGTTTGACGACCGCAATTTTTTTATAATTTTGACTTGTTAGATTGTTGTTGATCAGGAAGACGCTGCTGCCCATCTTCTGTTTCAGTTTCCCTCTATCGAATCCCACAGGACAGTATGGGCAGTGGATATTCTTACACAACCACTATACGGTTCATTTGTTTCAACTATGGCAACAACCTATGAGACAATCTATCCCTCTCATTTATGAGAAGGTTTTTAAAGCGGGAAAGAGATCGCGATCTCGCACACGTCGGTCTATAATTTACTAATTTCGATCGGAAAACTTTTTTTTTATATTGACTTGCTGCGTTCGGAATACCGAATAGGAATTCCGAAAGAGAATTCCAAATTTTAATTCCGTATGTATGTGGTCTGCCTACGTGTTAGCCGAGTTATATATAATTTATATAAAATAAATAAATCGAGTATACCTAAGTTTATTCAAATAGATGTAATGGATTTATTAATGGCTAAAAGTATGTATAATCGGTTGACAGGTTAAGACATGGTTAAAGTGACCGTTCCGCCACAATAAAGCCCAGTTTATTTATAAAATACAAGTGTTAAATTAAACATTTTGTATTACCGACTTCAACATAAACAACCTAAAAACTACTAGTCAGACCTTACTCAAATTTATATCTAAGCACTTTCAAATAAGAATTATCAAAATCGGTTCACTTAGAAAATAGTTATGAGTTAACACATAAAAAATACAGTCTACTTGAGTACCTCCTCCTTTTTGAAGGTTAAAAATAAATCTAATCGATATCGAACGTTTAGTAGTTGGTAGAACTACTTTTCTGTACAGGAGTCCGTCTGCGTAGTTACCACCCTCTTTCTGCCGCCAGGTAGTAGTACTTGCTAGTACTACTGTGTATAGTACTACTATATAATAGTACTTGCTAAGTACGAGTAATGCTATGTTCGGATCTAAAGGGTATAGAGGGCTAGTTTAATTACAGGCTATGAGGCAATTTATCTTTGTCTTTAGAGGTGACAACGCATCTATAGCCTATGGACTACAGTAGCCACTTACCGTCAAGTGGACGGTAAGATCGTATGTCACTTCAGTTTTATAAACAAAAATAACATTCCAATCTTCCCGATCCAATCAATCGCGCTGGAAACTGGAGTACTTTTTTTATAGAATTAAAGTGACAAACAAACAGTCAACCTGATGGTAAAAGAATGCTATGGCCCATAGACTACTACATCTATCATCGATTAAGAATCAAAACGCAGATGCGTTGTCACCCCTGAGGATTAAGATGGAATGCCTCTTTTCCAGTAAAAATGGTCTACGGTTCTCTACGCTCACCATACAAAACACAGCTACTTAAACTACTGTTTTACGCTGGTATTTTATCAGAGCGTGGATATTTCCTGGTCAAATCGATCCCTTCATGCTACAACCATAACAAAGCTGCAAAATTCGCTACCACGTAAAAAAAGGGAATGTTTTACCCCTATTATCTTTTTAGAAATTTCAAAATGATGCCGATTTACAGTCGGAACTTATGCCACAGGAGTTGAATCCAGTTTTTGTATCAGATAAGGTAAGCTTAAACAATTTTTGAAGTGATTTAAACTAATAATATTTCCAAGCCGTCTTCTCCGGGCGTCATCGATCTCTCTGGGCGTCGACCGACACTGAGTGATGAGCGTGCGCCGAAACATAGCGTTCGGCATGCATGGTAAACACGCTCTTATATTAGGATCTTTAGTGACGAGAGCTTAAAATGCACGCTGAATGCCACGCTGCGCCATGAATCACTTCGGACTCTCTCCACTCACTTATTTAAGAGGCAATTAAATTAAATCTTAAATT